CTGATGAAGGAGGTACTTAGACCCCCCAATATATGGGCTATTTTTGAATTGTACCCCTGTACCCCTGACCTTTAATGATAAAAAGTTGTTTCTGGACCTCTTAGCAAAGTTGTGGCTCTTCAATTTCAACTCTTTTTACATCACACTACAAGCCAAGGAGACTGTGGAGATCCTCTGGGGTGTAAAAGCCGCCTACTCAAGAACCAGTTCATTTACACCAACGTACATACCTTAAGATAACAATACCATTAAAATAAACCTACGAGTTCAGCGCTATCTTTCCACTTTCCTCATCCAAGACAAAGCTGACAGATGTTCTGTTCAATCAATTTTTATTGAGAAACATTTTCTCATTGTACAGTAAAATAATATAAGAATGTTAAATGACTTTCGTTATAAGTGGGTGCTATTATATAGCATGGCATTGAAGAGAGCGGATCCTCTTTAGGTTAATGCGGAGCTCCAGTCCCCATAACAATTTTATTTTAAAAGCTCACCCAGTATTGTTTATTCTTTAACATTAATAAATGGATAAAGTTATTTGGTATAGCCTTCTAATTAGTTTTAAATAAGTAAAAGTTTACCTTGATCTCAGAAGCAGGTAGGCGCCATGATGGATGTGGGCATCTGAAGCCTCATCTGAAGCCTGAAAGTCTGTATTTCCTGGAGTTGGTGCTGCTGGCTATCCCAGCATGCACCACTCGATCTCATGCCTGCGCAGTAATGACACTGCTCGGCGCAATTTGTATACAACAGGTTGCTGTAACAATGTTATAAATTACATTCACAGATCGCGCAATACACACACTCTGCATGTACAGCTTACATAGTCCAGCAAAGTCTGCACAGCTGTTACACTTCCTCCCCACAGATAGGACTCAGTTAAAATGGCGACAAACTCCTCCCATTCGCGTCATTTCCAGTTTTGAATTAACGCAATAGTCAGCAACTTGGAACCCAGAGGACTCCTGGGATACAATACCCTATATCCCAGGAGACTTTGCAAATCGCCTTCATATGTCATTTCCTAGGCGGCCGGGACCGGAAGTGCAGTCTTTGCACATGATTTAAAGGTATTTACAATATAAAAAAAATATATGATTATCCTAATCGTGCTGGACACCACAGGAAAGGTGTTAACAGAGGGACATTAAAAAAAGGGTGGAAATCCGCCTTAAATATGAAGTGGTCTGTACACAGTAAACTTTGCTGCTGGCCTATAAAGCTCACACTGTCTGTGAGTCCAGATGAATCTAAGCTGAGGGTTGTGATCACCATCCATTGACAATGGTAGGCAATATTAAGACCTATTGTAAGGTGAAGTGTCCAGATGCCCTTGCCTAGTTGACAGATGTCCTAACTCTTTCATGTTCTACCCAAGACTACAAAAAAAGATTTGGCTGGCATTAGGCTTAATGGAGCTGCAGAGAAACAAAGTGTTCCCACATCATGCCCAGTTTCTGGATTTACTTATGCAAAAGCAGCCACTTAGGGAAAAAATTAATTAATGTAAATAAAAACAGTAAATGTTGTGGTTTGGTTCTACAAACCACCCAATCCCTATGATAATAAGACCCTGCCATTCAACACTTGAGGAAAGAACTGGCTTGACAGGGGAAATCCATAGCTGTAGTAGGTAAAATGTCCATGACTCGTTAGCAAAAATGCATAGCATTCACAAGTATAACACCAAAAGCAAAGGATCCATTGCAAAAACAATTCATACCACTGATAAAACCTTTACATCTCTGAGTCATCAGACTAGTATGACTGGAAAAAATTATGATTGGCTTAGACTTGTAGGAACTAGAAGATTATGAAAAGGAAAATACCCTCATCACTCAGTGAAATTGATCTTGTGTAAAACTTCCAGGAGAGCAGACAGGAGAATAAGATGGCCTCCCCCACATTGTCATTTGCCTCAGCCGTGGGAGGATTGCCCAGTTTTTGAACCCACTTGAAGATACTTTGCACCAGAGAATCATATTTCTTGGACCGCTCTCCTATCTTCTTATCTTAGACTTGGGACTTTTCCAGAAGTGTTGTATAACTTTTTTATAGTTCGTTATAGCATTGGGTTTTCAATCCAGATCCAAATACCATGATATAGATCATATTATAAAGAAAAAAATACCATTGGGACTGAAAAAAAACAATAATAAAATATAGTTTATGTAATTGTAGGATCCTTCAAAATAGAAACAGATCTACTAGCAATATGTAAGCTGAGCAGAAGAAAATATTTGTATCATGGATAGTTTTGCATCTGCACCCTGTCATATCAGTAAATAAAGATGCAGGGGATTTAGCAATTAAAGCCTAAGTTTAGTCAATTTTTTTTTAAGAAGATCAGCACAAGGGATGGTAGTCAAAACTTCTTTTACCTTCCTTGAGTGAGCCAATTCCTCAAAACTTCTTTTACCTTCCTTGAGTGAGCCAATTCCTCAAAATTTCTTTTACCTTCCTTGAGTGAGCCAATTCCTCCTTCATTTGTGTTTCACATGTTCCCCCTCCCAGAAACTGCAGCCAGAAGTGGGAGGGGTTATGGTGCAGAGGCAGTTCTACTAATCTGGAAAGCAATGGGGAAGACTTGGTGTGACCAGCTGCTGACTGGCAAACAGGTTTATAAACCAGAGGTGATAAAACTGATAGACACGCACCCTACAACATCTTCTCATGCAACTGTAGTGAAAGCAGGCAAAGCCTGTATGAGGGGCAATACTGCTTTGAATTCAGGAGCAGTGCAGCAGTGTTGTCCCTATATCACAGTTTATTTGTGCTCCCTGTGCCTGCATGGGTTTTCTCCAGGCACTCCTCCCACATTCCAAAGACATGTTGATGGGTTAATTGGCTCCTGTCTAAATTGGCCCTAGTATGTGTTTTACTGATGTGAATGTACAATATGTATGTAAAGCAGTGCGTAAATCGATGGCACTATATAAGTACCTGTAATAAGTAAACAGGACAAGGCTGACTCTCCCCAATGGAACCCTGACAAGTGTTCTAATCTCTCTCTACTTCACCTAAAACTTAAAAAAATGTCTTTCTTTGGAAAAAACATCTACAATGCATTTTCCAAAATAAAATATGTTATAAACATTCTACAACAGAAGCATACATACATCGATTCGTGAGGAACTCATTTATGTCACGTTCCAATGAATAATAATACTATGAACTAAGAAAAAAAACAAGACAGTGTTTTGTTTAAAGATATCAATAATGTAAGAAAGTGTTTTTATTTTTTGATGTCAGGCCTAACGGGAAGTATGGGTTTCCTTTTTTTAACTTCACTCTATTCCCTGTGAGCTGCTAATACATAAAAATCTCTCCTGCCCTTTGAGAAGTGCACCCTTTCTGTTAAGATCAAGGTAAACACCTTTAGGAGGGGCTATAGGCTTCTCTGGATTCTTATGCTGGCAATCTTGTCAAGATCCACCTCCTTTCCTTCTCCTGTGTTTGATTGATGTCAGCTCTTGGCTCTCTGCTCTCCTCCTCAACTCAACACACAGTGCAGATCGATTCTCTTACAGACACCCTCTATCTGCACACTGTGTAGCTGCCTGCTATGCTGCAGTTCTGATATGTGAAGTTCCCAGATAAAAACAACTGTGCAGCATAGCAGTGTACAGATAGAGGGTATCTGTAAGAGAATAGATTTGAGCTGTGTATTGTGTGAGAGGAGGAGGGAGAGGGAGGAGGGGGAGAAGAGCTGTGTTGCCTGTACTGAGACTGTGAACAGTACAGGGATGTAAAGAGCCCAAAGGGCACAGCTTCCAAGGAGGATGGGGGGGAACAACTGAAATTTGGGGGTTGGTGGGCACAGCCCTCCCCAACACCTCCCGCTAGATGCAGCCATGTCTACACCACCTATGCATTAGCATGCATAGCACAGTGCTTGAACTCTTTTACTGTTCAGGTGTTTGCCTGTTCAGTAGGTGTGGCCACATCTCCCTGTGGAGGAGGGACAGGAGGAAGGGGGCAGATAGCTGAAGTTGTAATCACCCCCTCTAAATTTACAAGCAGAAAATAAACCATTATAGGGACTGTCACAGACTGCGGTGCCTCTCCCATCCCTCGCCATATCCCTCCACCCCTCCACTGTCCCTGGCACATTCTGAAGTCTGCTGGGTCGGCCGTTGCCGAGGCAACCTAGCCGCGTCCCACTTGATTTTCAAAACCCTCGCACAGGAAGTAGCCCTCCCTTCTGTTCCTGGCCGTGTGGCTGGAACCATCTTTCTCCCAGAAAGATGCTGGGAGGCTCGGGTGAGGGGGACCGAGCCTCCCCAGCCATCCCCCCTGCACACTCTGCAGACCCCAAAAGGTCAGGACTGTAGCCCTCTACAATACCCCAGGGTTGGGAGTCTCCACAGCTCTGCATGAGCCTTCTCCTCAAAGGTCAGACCCCACAGCTGAGACCCTGCCAGTCTGTAAGCCTGTCTACTGAGCACCCTTGCACCCTGCCTGCTGCTGAGTGCCCTGGGAGCTGCTGCTGAGGGAGCCTGCACACCGTCCGTGGCTGTGTGTCCCTGGAAGCTGCCTGCTGCTGAGTGCCCTGGAAGCTGTCGCTGAGGGACCCTGCACACTGTCCGTGGCTGCGTGCCCCTGGAAGCTGTCTGCTGCTGAGTGCCCTGGAAGCTGCTGCTGAGGGAGCCTGCACACTGTCCGTGGCTGCGTGTCCCTGGAAGCTGCCTGCTGCTGAGTGCCCTGGAAGCTGCTGCTGAGGGAGCCTGCACACTGTCCGTGGCTGCGTGTCCCTGGAAGCTGTCTGCTGCTGAGTGCTCTGGAAGCTGCTGCTGTCTGCTGATCACTGGTTGTCCCTGGAAGCTGACCGCTGGTCATCCCTGTCTTGAGCCGCCTGCCGCTGAGGGCACCGACCACCCGTGTCCTGAACTGTCCCTGTTGTGCGCACTGACCACCCGTGTCCTGAACTGTTCCTGTTGTGTGCACTGACCACCTGTGTTCTGAACTGTCCCCGCTGTGTGCACCGACCACCCGTGTTCTGAACTGTCCTCGCTGTGTGCACAGACCACTGTGTCCTGAACTGTGCCTGTTGTGTGCACTGACCACCTGTGTTCTGAACTGTCCCCGCTGTGTGAACCGACCACCCGTGTTCTGAACTGTCCCCTGCTGTGTGCACCGACCACCGTGTCCTTAACCGTCCCTGTTGTGCGCACTGACCACCTGTGCCCTGAACCGTGCCCGCTGTGTGCCCTGAACTGTCCCCTCGCTGTGTGCACAGACCAACCACTGACCACCGTGTTCTGAACTGTCCCCTCTGTGTGCACCGACCATTCCTGTCCTAAACTGTCCCCGCTGTGTGCACTGACCACCCGTGTCCTGAACTGTTCCTGTTGTGTGCACTGACCACCCGTGTCCTGATGGCATGCCCGGAGTATAGCTACCTGTGGTGCCCCTGAGTGCTTGAGCCATCGCTACCGTTGAGTCCCCGTGAACCCAATGACCCTAGAAAGCTAGGTGGGAGCTGTGCTGTGGCCAGTCTCCACAGCTAGAGTCCTGTTGAATCCCCGAGGTCCCTGCCCAGTGGTAGGTTGCCGCCTGTTGCCCGAGGCCCCTGCCCAGGGGTAGATTGCCGTCTGTTGCCTTGTTATTTTGATGTTTTTTTATTATTTTTACACTGTAAATATCACCTCTGACTGCAATAGGCATTGGCAGATATTCTTTTTTGAGAAATCTGGGGTTTATTAGACTCTAGATATCTCCTCTGCCCTTACATCATCTGATCTCACCAAGATCGGTGTGTTCAGATGCTTTTCCAATTTACAAATGGCACTGTTTATATCCTGTGAAACTGAAGTGATGAAATGTTCATCGCTTCCGATTTCTTTCTATGAAGATAATTGGAGTCATTCTGGTCTCTGATCAGCTTTACAGTCAGCCAGCGGATCTGCCGGCTGCATTCTCGGATTCCCCTGTGGGACAGGAGAGCCCAAGAAAACTGTAGAAGGCAGCAAGAGGAGGGGGGAATGTCCCTTCCCGCTGCTCGTAAAAACAATTCAGCAGCTAATTGGCCACTAAGATTTCATTTAAATGAAAGCTGACCATCAGCTGAAAAAAAAACGATGCCAGGATGATGCCTGTAGCTGCAGGCATCATCCTGGCATAACCACTCAAAGTCCAGCGACGTACCAGTACATTGCTGGTCCATATTGGGTATATATGTAACAGCAGAGAATACGGGCATATGATGAATCGGCTCTGTGGATCAATATGAACGCAATTCATTCTTTTTTGTAATGCCCATGTTGAAGTCCTAAAAACCGTGATAGGTTTCCATGCGAAATGTCTGGAAAGAGCTGACTTTGGGTTGGTGGCCATGTATTGTTGTGTGTATAAATTGCATTGGCCCACAATCAATTGGTACAAATCTTCTGTGAAAAACAGCGGAGGGGCTAAACGCTAGTGCTGGCAGCGAACGGGGCCGATACTGCTAACACTGTGTTTTTGGGGGTACTATACAAAGGAGGCACTAGTATAGTTCTGTTCATGACCATTTTATTGATCTGTACAAACACTATACTAATAATGGCAGTGATCAGCGACCTATAGTGTGAGTGCAATAGTGTGCGGGCAATCTAATGCTAGCTGACCCTGGCTGGAAGGGGCGCTTATTGACTCTGATGTTATATGGTGTCGCTAGTGGCAGTAATACAGTGATCAGTGAAAAATTCTATATACTGACACTGTACTAATGGCATTGGCTCGGTGATGAGGTGATCAAAGGGTTAATAGGGGTGATCAAAGGGTTAAATGTGCTAATCTAACATGTGAACTCCATTGTGTTAGTACAGCCAGATCGATGTACGGGCACGTCGCTTTGTCTGTAGCTGCCGCCCTGCCACAGTACATTTCACTGGAAAATGCACTGGTACACATTAAAAAACACACTGGAATGCATCAAAAATGCGCATGCAGAAACGCATCTGGAATGCATTCAGACTGCGTTTCTATGGTGTGAACCGGCTCTGAAGAAGTAGGGTGGAAATTTGTCATACAAATAGCAGTTGCATCCAATCAGAGGCAGCTTCTGTTCAGGTATTTTGAAAATACAGTTTCGTACATCCTCGCTATATAGCATGGATGGAGGAATTATTATTATTACTAAATCTGTTAGAATTTTTTCAATCGGCTGCAGGCTTAACAAAAAAAAATCTAATAGCGTATGCCGAGGTTAGGGAAGTTGAAAGTCCGTTACCTCTGCAACAATAGCTGGCATATAGGGTCCACTTTTCCATCTAAATGACTTCTAGGGTCACAGCATACACTTTGGTATCATAACATCAACATTATAAAAGCAATACAGACAATATTTTATTCTGAAAATCCAATTTAAGCTTACCTAAAAAATCTATTTCATGTTGAGAATGCTGCCTGTCTGCTAGCCATCTATTTCTACAATTTCCTGGATTTCCTGTATGCTTTGCAGTTACTCCACTATTTTTTACTTTTGAGGACTTTACTTCTACGGACTACATATCCCATGGTACCTTGCTGCCTGCAAGCAGTAATTCTTGTACTTGCTCCACCTCTTGAAACGCCTCCTCTCAGCGCCCCTGTAGCTCAGAAGGCAGGCTCTGTGAAATGTGTGACAGAGCAGTGCCTACTCACAGGGCATGGTGAATGTGAGTCACAGAATTCAAGACAGTAACTGTGTGGAGATCTTCACAAAGTAAGTTTACAAACTCCCTGATCCTTCAGATTAATAGGAGTGAACTAAAAATAATTGAAATACAACGTGGAAATGAATACAGCACATGATTTCACATTTTGACCATAGATACACTTTAAAGTTTATATATACAGTTGTGTTCAAAATAACAGCAGTCAGACATCACTAACCTGATCAATCACTGTTTTTGGTAGAAATTATATTTCTACATGGCAAATAATTTACTAGCAGGTGTAGTAGAGTAATAGAAATCCAACAGACCCAACAGTCATGACATGCATGCTGCTGATTCTGTGTAATTGAATCACTAATTGAAAGGGGCATGTTCAAAATAATAGCAGTGTGGAGTTCTATTAGTGAGGTCATTCATTCTTTGAAAAATAGGTGGCAATTATTGCCCTTATTTAAGGAAGGAAGGCAGAAAATGTTGTACATGCTGATTACAGTGCATTTCTCTCTGAAATTCTGAGGAAAATGGGTCGTTCCAGACATTGTTCAGAAGAACAGCTTACCTTGATTAAAATGTTGATTGGAGAGGGGAAAACATATAAAGAAGTGCAGAAAATGATAGGCTGCTCAGCTAAAATGATCGCAAATGCTTTAAAATGGAAACCAAAACCTGAAGACGTGTAAGAAAGCGAAAAACTACTATTCGAATGGTTAGAATAGCCAAAATGGCAAGGACTCAGCCAACAATCAGCTCCAGGAAGATCAAAGAAGGTCTAAAGTTACCTGTGAGAACTGTTACAATTAGAAGACACCTATGTGAAGCCAAGCTATATGCAAGAAGCCCCCGCAAAGTCCCACTGTTGAAAAAAAGACATGTGCTGAAGAGGTTACAATTTGCCAAAGAGCACATTGACTGGCCTAAAGAGAAATGGCGCAACATTTTGTGGACTGATGAAAATAAGATTGTTCTTTTTGGGTCTAGCGGCCGGAGACAGTTTGTCACACGACCCCCAAACACTGAATTCAAGCCACAGTAGACTGTGAAGTCAGTGAAGCATGGTTGCGCAAGTATCATGATATGGGGATGTTTGTCATACTACGGTGTTGGGCCTATTTATCGCATACCAGTGATCATGGATCAGTCTGAATACATCAGAATACTTGAAGAGGTCATGCTGCCTTATGCTGAAGAGGAAATGCCCTTGGAATGGGTGTTCAAACAAGACAATGACCCCAAACACACCAGTAAACGTGCAACATCTTGGTTCCAGACCAACAAGATTGACGTTATGGAGTGGCCAGCCCAATCCCCGGATCTTAATCCAATAGAATACTTGTGGGGTGACATCAAAAATGCAGTTTCTGAGGCAAAACCAAGAAATAGAGAAGAACTGTGGAATGTAGTCCGGTCATCCTGGGCTGGAATACCTGTTCACAGGTGCCAGAAGTTGGTTGACTCCATGCAACACAGATGTACAGCAGTTCTCAGAAACAGTGCTTATACAACTAAATATTAATTAAGTGATTCAAAGGAAAGCAAAATCTTCAAACATTTTTCAGTTTATATAGTGAATGTTTGAGTTTGTAAAGAAGAATACAAACACTGCTATTTTTTTGAACAGTCTAAAATTCACTTTTCTTCAATTTATTTAGAGGAACAACACAAATTTGATATATTTTTCTTCATGTTTTGATTTGGAATAGAATGTGTAGTGTTCCCAATGCATTTGTGTGTATATCTAAAGAAACTTTTTTCAGTTTTCGATAGAATAGGGAGCTTTAAAATTCCCACTTAGTTATCACCAGAATATTGGAATATATCACTCACCTTCTGGTTTGAAGTTAACTTAATCAACTTAAACTTGTCAATGTTAAAGCAGTATTAAACCCAAAAGCAGACATTTATTATATTGCAGCTTGCCAACTCTTAGACACGGTGGCTGCATTGTTTTTTTTTAGTCTTTCTTTCTTTTTATTTCACCTGGTGATCTGCCCAGTCTGTTTTTTTTCAACAGAGCAAGATGTTCTGCAGATGTAGCACTTACAGGATTGAGACAAACCAATAACAACTGACAATTATCAGCTTTTATTTATGTAAAACCTTTATCCAAAAAGGAAAAAAAAAGTATTCTTTTAACTGCTTATAAAGTGTTAGCTGGAGTTCAGCTTCAATTTGTTAGTGTATCTAAATCTGCTAGACCATCTAACACTCCCCCCCCCCAGATTAACAATGCTGCTGTCCAAAGTTGCCTCTGTGCTCCTTCATCCCGTATGGGGGCACTATAATACAGAAGATGTGTTACTAGCCAGAACACCAGGTGACAATAGAGGGACAAAATCTTAAAAATAGAAAACAAATGCATCTACCGCATCGTGATTGGTAAACTGCAATATATTATATGTTTGATTTGGGGTTTAACCACTTGCCCTCTAGAGGATTTACCCCCCTTCGACCAGGCCATTTTTTGCGATACACTGTACAAAAATGAAATTTATGTTCTTTTTTTCCCAGAAATAGAGCTTTCTTTTGGTGGTATTTGATCACCACTATATTTTTTATTTTTTGCGCTATAAACAAAAAAAGACTGACAATTTTGAAAAAAAAAACCAATATTTTTGACTTTTTTGCTATAAAACATATCCAGCAGAAAAAAATTAATTTCTTCATAAATGTATATTTAATGTCTTTGCTACAAAAAATCCCAATACATGTATATTAATTGGTTTACGTGAAATTTACAGTGTCTACAAATGGCGGTATATATACTGGAATTTTTATTTTCTTTATACTAGTAATGGCGGCGATCAGTAACTTATAGCGGGATTGCGACGGGCATTCTGACACTGACAATGGCGGCATGGGTTAGGGCGGCATACACGCGCCCCATACCTGGAAATGTAAATCAAATATATATACATGATTTTATGCATCCCTGCCG